CTTTGATAAAATTTTCATCATCATCATAAATCATCATCTTAATCATCATCTTAATCATCATCATCATCATCGTATTTATTATCATTTTCAACATCATCGTTCCGAGCAATGTCACCAACACAAGTTTCATTATCATTGCAGCAGCATTGCCATATTCCTCTCTACCACCATGTTCTCAATCGACGTCATTATCATCGTCATCATCACTATCATCGTTACTATCACCATTACTATCATCACCATCATCATCATCATCTTCATCATCCTACTTACCATCACCATCATCATTACCACCGTCATCATCATCACCAACGTCATCATCATTATTATCACCATCATCGCCATTGTCATCATCATTATCACCTTTATCACGATTTCCAATCTCTCTGCCCATGCCGTCGGCACCCGACTGTCCAACTGGTTGAGTGTACTTTACCACAACTTTCAGACTGGCCTGTAACGTTTAAGTATTCGTATGTATGGCAGTTTGTGTGTGCGTGCGTGTGTGTGTGTGTGTGTGTGCGTAAGGGTTATTTCAAAACTTGAATCATCGTCTGTGCCCAATTCTTGTCATGAACGAACATTAACATTAAAATCACCTTCACTGACATTGTTACCACCATTGATGTGAAATAATATGATTAAAATACTAAAATGAACTTTCCGCGGTTATAACAGTATGTTCTTGATGAAAATGTCTTGTTGAAAAGCTAAAAATGCCTGCGTAATATGATACGGACCATTTTAGCATAAATATAAAACATTTCAATGTGGATAAACACACACATACACACACGAACACACACACACACACACATGCATCCAATTTTATGTGCAGTATGATGTATTTGATAATAATCCATCATATATATGGATGTGTATTAAATGTAGATATAAACCAAACGAAGGCAGCTATCAAATATAATAATTTGCTGTGTGCATGTGTGTCTGTTTGTGTGTTTTTTTGTATAAGTGTGTGTGTGTGTGTATGTATGTGTGTGTGTGTGTGTGTGTGTGTGTGTGTGTGTGTGTGTGTGTGTGTGTGTGTGTGTGTGTGTGTGTGTAAGACAAAAAGAAATATTTAATAATTTGCAAAAGACCTGTGGCTTTCATCATAATCTTAACTGAGATATTTAAAAACAATTAAACTACATCAACAACTACAAAGACTGTGTTACCAACAAGAATTAAGTGAAGAAAACAAGATGATGCCGAAAATATTGATAGTTACAAAGAATATTTGTGCGAAAAAAAACAATATAAATGAATGAATGAATGAATGAATGAATGAATGAATGAATGAAAGAATGAATGAATGAATGAATGAATGAATGAATGAATGAATGAATGAATGAATGAATGAATGAATGAATGAATGAATGAATG